TCATATTTAAATGACAAATCATTCTGGCGTAAACATGTATATAACTGTATTCTTTATCAGACCATATCGTCCTAAAAGTTAGAAAATTTCTATTTAAAAAAAAATCTGTCTACCAAATATTTATTTGGAATATTGAGCGTAGCAGCCAGGAAAGCAATCACCAAGAAATGGCTAAAACCAGGCAGCCCATCCATTGAGGACTGGTATGGTATCATCTACAAAATATTCATAACGGAAAGAATAACTTTTTCCATCAGGTTACAGAAATCAAAATTTGAAGACAATTGGAATTTATGGAAAACGTACATTTCTTCAAGGTGCCCTTCCTTTATCTAATTGATTCAATTTTCAATTATTTTTGATACTTTGTCTATTTAATTTCAAACAACCCCCTTTACTCTTGACAAAAATGAAAGACACCTCAGGTTCTATGTTTGTTCCTATGTTCGATGGGCGAGCTGTACTGAATAGAAAAACAGATTGTACAAAAGGAAAAAAAAAATGTTTTTGTTGTAATATTGTAACCATCTTTGTTATGATGGTGATTTCAATAAAGAGAATAAAAATAAATAAATAAATAAATAAATAAAAATCTGTCTTAAAATATATATATATATTTTGTTATCTTATGCAGGCCAGTTATACGTCAGCCTGAATTCCTAAATTCGGCCAATCATATATTAAAGGTCATCTGTCAATCAAATTTTTTCGGTCATAGCATTTTGATTCTTATGTTGCAGCTAATATACGCAACGGTTGAAATAAGAAATAAGAATCATTTCCTTTCCCATTGAGTTCCGTCCCAGTGTTCACAGGGATGGACGTCTGTGTCTTCAGCAGGCATAGAGCTAACAGAACTGGCAGCGTTGCGAGGCAAGGGCTCAAACATGTATGGCTGGAAGCCTTCTACACCAAACCAAACCAATCTACGACCTCCGACACTAAACTCTCCTCCTCTTGCATGTATCTGCTGTCCATAGCGTTCCTTGACAGCGTCGTTTCTAAGTCACCAATTTAGTTCTACTTGGTTCCAATGGAATTTCCCATTGGGAACCTACTAGCACTAAGTTGCTAACGGGTTAGCAAGATGCTTCTGACAAACCAGCCATATCCAAACTTGCTTGAGAACCTTCCGCCACAACAATCCCGCCCCCTTGATAATCGACCAATCACATTCACTTCATTCCGTCGTGTAAAGTTGGGCACCATTAGAGAGAATTCGGAAAATGCAACCTTTGGAACAGCTGCTTCCTTACGACTTTAATGCTCAGTTAATCTTTTATCCAAAGTTCAGCCTTAATGCGGTTCAACTTTAAAGTTAAGTTAAACTTTAATGGGAAGTTTTGTGTTGCTGCCATGTTCAGCCTTTATGCCTAATTCAGCATTAAGGCCTGATTAAAGTTCAGAGTTCACCCCTACCTCCTAGTTCAGCATTAATGATCAATTCATCTTTAATCCCAAGTTCAGCTTGAGTTCAGCCTTACGTCCAGATAAACATCAATACTGAGTTCAGCCCTGACGATTGATCATCTTTAATCTTGTATTCCCATTTAATGCTGAGTTTAGCCCAACTATTTCCACCTTGAACAGCTTCAATATTCTAGAAAGACTTTCAACTTCTAGTTCTTCCCGAAGATCAGACGTTAATGTTGGATATCGGACAAAGTAACAGTGTTATATTCATGTATAGAAACTTTTCTTTGCAACTGCAGTTCTATGTTTGAATGGAATAACTCCTCTGAATTAAACTCAGCCCTTGGGAAGTTTTATGGGCTTAGACTACATTTAGGGACAGTTTAAGGTTTGAATCCATGGTTGTTCTGCTCTTTATCCACCAGGTCACCAAACCCCTTGGTCAAATGGCTTTAATTTATCCAAAAGATGGTTTTCACCTTAAGGTGTGGATTCAGTAGAGTTCAGTAAAGTTCTTCCTAGCTAAACTTGCTTATTCTTGTCTGAATGGATCTAGTTTGGTGCAGCCATATGCGAGGTGTCTTTAAACTATTACAACAAAGTTGTGTGAAGGAAATTGTCCAAAGTCTTTCTGGATGCTGAAGCTTTCTGGATTGTTTTACCAAAATATAGGGGGTGTTCCTCCCTCCATCAAACTTTATATTCCGTAAAAATTCAAAAAAATTCAAAAAATATCCACTGGACTTGGTTTTCAAGATTTGAAGACGTTTCGCCACCTCTCCAGGAAGCTTTCTCAATTCAAATGTGTGACACATTTGAATTGAGAAAGCTTCCTGGAGAGGTGGCGAAACGTCTTCAAATCTTGAAAACCAAGTCCAGTGGATATTTTTTGAATTTTTTTGAATTTTTACGGAATGACTATTACCTGGATGACTGAGAACCTTCATCAGCATCAAACTTTATAGTTATTAAGGGTTGTCTGACCTCATTTTAAATCTTTTGAATGATGATGGGAATTGTAGTGCAATACATTTGGCAATACATTTTACAAGGGTTCATATTTACCAGTCTAAAGTATTCTGATTCTGTTTTGTTAAACCATCTAACTTATCGTTTAAGCCTAACATCTGGAATTTTACTTGGTAAATACTTCCTAAATTTGTTCTCCTGAACTGAATGTCTTTCAGTACATTAAATATAAGACGTAGACAACTTTTATTGTCATTTTGTATACATTATATATTTAGTACCGCTTTTCAGACAGAATTTCCATTCCATAAAGTGGAGCAGTGATCAAATGTAAACAGTGTAGGAAAAAAAAAAAAAAAACGCATTGATATGGAAGTTCAGAGCATTAATATATATGGTGTAAATATTAGAGTTGCACCCATTTTTTTACAGATACCCGATTACTGGCTGGGCAGTATTGGCCGATACCGATACCATCTGTTTGAAATTGATGTGTGTGTATATATGAAGAACTGCATACTACTTGGATGTAAAATAGTTGCCATCATGGCTTCGTCAAACTGCTGCCTACCTTTGTGAAGCAGGAAAAAGACTAATACGAAGTGAATCCAGTAGAACTTTGTATTGTCTACCTGGAATGGGTCACAATAGTGGAATAAACTTTTGCCTCTCAGAATTGGTATCGATATTGATTGATATTGGTATCGGTAGCGGTGCAGCACTAGTAAATATGCAGTATTTCTGGTTTGGTGTTATCAAACCAACTATGGGATACCAAACTGATGCAAGAGAAGTGGTGAAACAGATAGAACACTTTTCTAAAAGGGAGTAAACTCATTCTCCATGTGTGAAGAGGAGTTGGTGTTCGCCTGGCCCTCCATATAGAGTTGTTCATTGCGCCCCCCTCCAGTATTTGGGCTCTTTCTGTTCTTTTCTTTTATTCTCACAGTGAACCTTCCCTCTCAGGCTCTGAATCAGAAGTGCATCCAGGACTTTCCAGGCCTCCATTGTTTCTTTGCGCTGTCAAACTCTAATGTGCTATTAATGATTCAGTGTCAGCTTTCGTGCCCTGATTTTGAAATACGGGATACTGAACTGGGCGTGTCTGCAAGGTGTTACTGTTGAGCTGTCATTTCATCACAAAGAGAGCAGTCAAGCTTTCATCGTGAATCTCAAGGATCACATGAACGGCAGCTTTATTCTCCTCTAACCCAGTGGGACCTGGAAGTGTGTAAACAAGGCGCTGGAATTTCTGCTGCATCCAGAATAGACAACAAATCGTTCTATTTTTGGCAGCAAGCAGGATTTCTTCATCAGAGGCAGGCCCAGTGGAGGCGAGGCCGAGTTGTTATTCAAGTTTACACAGGCGGCTGGAAAATCTGTCCAGCAGCTTACAGACACATTTCTTGGTGAACTCCTCGTAAACCAAAAACAGCATCAAATCAATTTGTTTGGTTTACTAATCTTGGGTCATAACAGCTTCTGGCCTGTTTCCAGTGATGCTTTGCCATCAACTCATACTGTGTGATCCCTGCTCAGCCTTGCCCCATGGCACCTGACTGGGCTGAAAAGGATCCTAACTTTATTCACTGTCATGCATGTCAGGTTTCAGGTTTAATCACCTCCCTGTAGGAACCCCTGGGATATCAGAGATCCTGCTGCAGGTTTATGGGCTTCATGCTCCAAACGGAGAGAAAAAGAAAAGGCTGGTTTTGAAGAAGATATTTTATTTTTTTTACCATGACCCTTTTCTCTTCAGAACTGCTTTTAAAAAAAGATTAAAAGTTCTGGTATTTTAATCAGTTGTCTTTCTAGCTGGTCTTATTAGCGCCCCCTGCTGCTCGTTTTTTAAAACTGCACCCAGTTGCCCTTTTTCCTTTTTTTCCAAGACCTGGAACTTCTGTTCTCCACTCCTTTTGAATCTGCTGTTCTCCCATCCTTATGATTGAGCTGGTCATTTATTTATTTTTCTTTGTTTTAATCCAATTCATGATACTATTTTGTTCCAGTTTTACAATTTTCCTGAAAACTTGACAGACTATATTGACATGATTTTTTATTCCCTCTATGTGCTGGGTCTGGTTAAGCTGGAAGTTTTATTTTATTTTTATTTTCTAAACTTTTCTCTCTAATCTATGATCAACTTGCTGAAGCTCAAAGGTTGTGGGAAAGCAGAACTTCATATGGGGGCATTCCCCATTTGAAAAGGATTCTTATAGGATTACACAATTATATAAAACCAAAAAAATAGGATTTGAACACAGACAGTGGAGATTAGGTTAATGAAGGTCAGCAGTAAATTAGCTGCAGTATCAAAGCTTATGGATGGAAAATTAGGTGGAGGGAAAACCTGTAAGAAAAGCAGTGAAAGCAACAGCAGCTTTTTCTAATAAACTTATTTAGAGGGAACTTTTTTTTTTTATTATTTGCATTAATTCAATGGAGCTAAAATGACAGAATAATAAATAATTGAACTATATATGAGAGTGAGATGAAGTTCTACACCATTAATGTCTCTCTTTGTTGATGCAGAGGATGAAATCAACAGAAGATCGTCAGCATCTGAACTGATTTATTCTTCACTTTGCTTCAGGCGCGTGCGCGTTTAATTGATTTATGGTATTTCCAGGTGAGGATAAGCGTTCATCATGGAGGCAGGCATTGGGAGCTCAGCGGGACTCTGGGTCCGACTGGATCATCTCTGCGGTTCTGGATCGGTTGTTGATCCAAACACAAAGAAGGCAGCCAGAGCCGCTGCGGCGGCGCTCCTCATTACCTGCTGTTTGTCTGGGGAAAGAGGAAGTATGGCAGCATTTCCGTTTCATCATGCCGTGGGCTGGTACTTTCCCTTCAGCGATAATAAAAGGAGCGCAGCAGCAGGCAAAGGTATCAAACGGATCCAAGTCAGTGAGGTCTGAGCAAGAAGATGGAGATAAAGCAGGTGAGACCCCCTCCCTACATCCACCTCCATCATCACCATCACCATCATCACTCTCCTCATCCTCTCCTCTCCTCCCTGCAGATCCTCATCCTCCTGCTGTGCGCCGCAGCGGCGCGCTCCCGGTGCCACAATGGGACCAACCTGGAGGCAATAGCGCTCAAGAGGCTCCAGAGGCACTACCCTCAGCCCCTGACCATCACGGCCTCAGAGGACTCCTCCAGCTCCTGCCCGGTCGAGCTTTACCAGAAGCTGCCCTCCGTGGAGGTCAAGGATCGCTCCCTCTCTCCCTGGAAATGGCGGTGCGTGTTTACGCAGAGCAAAATTTAGTTTTTACAGCACGGTAAAACCTGAAGGATGTTTTAGAAGTCAAACGCTTCTCCTTTTCTAAGTTAACCGGGAAGGAAATGTAAAACAGAAGCAGGGGAAATTAAAAAAATCCAAACTGGATGTTGACAGATTGATGAAACCCTGAGGAAACTCCAGATGACTTCCCAGTTAGACTTTAACTGAGTAAATTCCCCGCTTGACCCGGGATGCTTCGCTTTTTGCTATAATTTCTTTATTTATGGCTCTCTGCGTCATTAAGGTCTGCAGGATGCAACATCGCTCTTTTACGCACGCGTAATTGGCAGCCAAAAGAAACCTTCTAATGCATCTCTTAAAACCTTTAAAGAAACATCAAAGTCGCTGGTTTAGTTAAGCTTGGCGTTAATACCGCGCAGGGAAAGCCCCGGTGCGGCTCGTCCTGCAGGCATCCATCTGCACCATCAGCTGACTCTATGACAGCTGAACAAACTCTCACATCGTTAAGCAATAGAAATAGACATCTGTGCATCACTACTGATTCAGTAAGAATCACGATATGATTGTCCTCATGGACATTATATCACTTAATGTCCATGATATAATAAAAAGAATCATGGTGGTTTAAACAAGGCTTTTCTCTTCAACGATCATTTAAAGACCGAATTTTCACAAATGAAATAGAAAATCCAACCAGATTCTCCAGAGAAAAGCTCTTTGTCTCAGATGGGACAATGGATGCAAATATTTCCGTTTAAAAACATAATCCCCCTATGTTTAGAGTACAACAGTTAACCTGTTAACTAGAGTAGAATAACTAACCAGTTTGGAGTAGAATAACTAACCTGTTTAGTCTAGAATAACTAATATGTTTAGAGTACCAGTTAGTCTAGAATAACTAACCTGTTTAGTCTAGAATAACTAACCTGTATAGAGTAGAATAACTAACCTGTTTAGTCTAGAATAACTAATATGTTTAGAGTACCAGTTAGTCTAGAATAACTAACCTGTTTAGTCTAGAATAATTAACCTGTTTAGAGTAGAATAACTAACCTGTTTAGTCTAGAATAACTAACCTGTATAGAGTAGAATAACTAACCTGTTTATTCTAGAATAACTAACCTGTTTAGAGTAGAATAACTAACCTGTTTAGTCTAGAATAACTAACATCTTTATTCTAAAATAACTAACATGTTTAGAGTAGATTAACTAACCTGTTTAGTCGAGAATAACTAACATCTTTATTCTAAAATAACTAACATGTTCAGAGTAGAATAATTAACCTGTTTAGTCTAGAATAACTAACCTGTTTATTCTAGAATAACTAACCTGTTTAGTGTAAAATAACTAACCTGTTTATTCTAGAATAACTAACCTATTTAGTGTAAAATAACTAACTTATGTAGATTAGAATAACTAACCTGTTTAGTCTAGAATAACTAACCTGTTTAGTGTAAAATAACTAACTTGTGTAGATTAGAATAACTAACCTGTTTATTCTAGAATAACTAATCTATTTAGTATAAAATAACTAACTTGTGTAGATTAGAATAACTAACCTGTTTATTCTAGAATAACTAACCTATTTAGTATAAAATAACTAACTTGTGTAGATTAGAATAACTAACCTGTTTATTCTAGAATAACTAACCTATTTAGTATAAAATAACTAACTTGTGTAGATTAGAATAACTAACCTGTTTATTCTAGAATAACTAACCTATTTAGTATAAAATAACTAACTTGTGTAGATTAGAATAACTAACCTGTTTATTCTAGAATAACTAACCTATTTAGTATAAAATAACTAACTTGTGTAGATTAGAATAACTAACCTGTTTATTCTAGAATAACTAACCTATTTAGTATAAAATAACTAACTTGTGTAGATTAGAATAACTAACCTGTTTATTCTAGAATAACTAATCTATTTAGTATAAAATAACTAACTTGTGTAGATTAGAATAACTAACCTGTTTATTCTAGAATAACTAACCTATTTAGTATAAAATAACTAACTTGTGTAGATTAGAATAACTAACCTGTTTATTCTAGAATAACTAACCTATTTAGTATAAAATAACTAACTTGTGTAGATTAGAATAACTAACCTGTTTATTCTAGAATAACTAACCTATTTAGTATAAAATAACTAACTTGTGTAGATTAGAATAACTAACCTGTTTATTCTAGAATAACTAACCTATTTAGTGTAAAATAACTAACTTATGTAGAGTAGAATAACTAACCTATTTAGTATAAAATAACTAACTTGTGTAGATTAGAATAACTAACCTGTTTATTCTAGAATAACTAACCTGTTTAGTGTAAAATAACTAACTTGTGTAGAGTAGGATATGAATAAGGGTGAACAATGGTGAATAGGAGTGAATAAGGATGAATCAGAGTGCATAATTGTGAATAAGGGTGAATAATGGTGAATTGGTTTGAATAAGGATGGATAAGGGTAAATAAGGGTGAATGATTGGTAAATAAGGGTGAATAAGGGTGAATAATTGTGAATAAGGGTGAATAATGGTGAATAGGTGTGAATAAGGATGGATAAGGGTGAATAATTCGTAAATAAGGGTGAATAATGGTGAATAGATGTGAATAAGGATGAACATGGGTGAATAAGAGTGAATAAACTGACTCAGAGATATATTTTTTTATCATAAACTACCGTTTCATAGATTCACAGTCTGTGGAACAGATTGTGAATTGGCCACCTTATCTGTACAGACATGTGAACGCCACAGGGGGGCGCCTTTTCCCACTTTTATTGACCAATCTGAATAGTAAGAGAGTTCCTTTGGTGTGTCTGGAACTGATGAAATGATGATTAAATGAACGCTGTGATCTTCAGGGTCCTACAATGCATCCTTCTTTAATTGATGCAATAAAAATGGTGGTTCTAATATTCAAACCTTGTGATCCAATATATCTATGCAACTTGATTTATAACAGACTGCAAACTAATTACTAGAATCCATCACAGACATGGCATTAAGCTGAGAGCAGTTTTAGTTTGTGTTTGGACCCAGCAGTCTCACTGAGTCCTCTCCGTCCTTCACAGGACGGTAACCAGACCGGATTACTTTCCCCACACCTACACCGAGGCCGTGTGCCTCTGCAATGGATGCATCCTGATGGAAAACGGCACCGTGCAACACAGCTACAACTACAACAGCATCCCCCTTTTGCACACGTTCATGTTCCTTAAGAGAGACAGACACAACTGTGAGGAAGGCAAATACCGCCTGGTGGAGGAAATGGTGCAGGTGTCTGTGGGGTGCACCTGCGTCAGGGCGAAGACCGTACGCGTACGGTCGTAGTCCAACCCTTGGAGGCACCACCTCAGACTCAGAGATGTTATGCTGTGAGGTTCTACAGCTCTACTTTGAGATGGACTGACTTTTAACTACCTATTTATTGTTTATTTATTTATCCAAACTGTGTTGGGTTGTTTTTTTTCTCATAACTAGTGTGAAGTTCTGCATAGTGCAGCTTATATATAAAGAAGGTATTAAATACCTGATTCCACAAATGATGAAGTTTCCTCATCAAAAAATGCTGTTGTGAACTACTGCAATATCATAACAGCGATAATCATGTTTGTAGTAAATATTTATGTTAATTATTCTCATTTATAATGTGTCAGATTGTTCATCATATGATGAGATTCTGTTTTCTTTTCTTTTTATCCTGTAGATGCTTTGTCCCAGTGGGACTTCACAGTTCAGCTTCTTTGAAGCAAAAATAAATGCTAAATAAAATGTTGCACATTTATTAAAAACATCCTTTTTCTGAACATGTAGACCTACAGGCTGAACAGTTCATTGCATTTGAAATATGATCACAATTTTATAAAACGCAATTTTAGAATCACAGAGGTGCTCATTTTCTCAGCTACATTTAATTAGAGCAGACACTAACCCTCCAGGGTGGCATTAAAACACTAATGGTGTTTGCCGCCACAGAGAAGGGAAGAGTGAGTTGCACCTAGCAGCTTGCAGATGCATGCGAGTAGAAGTTAGCACTTTTACAACAAGCTGTAAAGTTCTCATCAATGGACTCTGGACAAGAAGGCATGACGACAAACCCTGAGACAAACAGGCCTGCCTGTGGTTAGATCAGAGGAAAATCAAAATATAAGTGCAATCCCAGTTCAATTTTAGTCAAAAACAATCACAACTTTGATTTTCTTTGGCAAAATCTTTTAGCCCTAACAGGTAAAAATTAGGATATGCAAAACGGTGATTAAACATAGAGGGAGATACTTCAAAGCTTTATTTCTTGTCACATTAATGATTATGGATCAGAAAGAACAAAAACCCAAATTCAACTGAATATTGGCCGGTATTTCTATGGCACTTTTAATAAGACTCCAAACTCCTTGCACTACAATCACTCCTTCCCGCATTCATTCAAGCTTTCTAGCTGTAGGACAATAAGCCTCCATCTGTTCATGTTGAACATGAAACAGGTCAGACATTAGATTATTTTTTATTAGTGATTTATATAATTATCAATACTATTATTATGGAACAAACTAGTTCAACCATGAGATAATGCAGCAAAGGGTACCCAATCAATTGTAGTTCTGATAGTTATCCAGCAGATGTCGCCATTCTAAACTGTATCAAATGTATGGAGCATAGTGTTGAATTTAGGGCAATAAACTCAATGCGCAACTCCACTACTTCCTGAACGTAGGGCAGCTCTTTTGTTTCCTGTCTTTTTCTACTGGATGAACTAATTAATCCAGGTGTGCCTGACCTCAATAACAATGGCCAGACACACCTGGATTCATCTGTTAGTCCAGTAATGAAAGACAGGAAACGAAAGAGCTGCCTTAAATTCAGGAAATAGTGAAGTTTTGCATTGAGCGCATTGTGTCAAATTGGTTCATGGGGCTTCAAAATTGCCGTCACTAATTTTGGCTGGATTCTACCGCAAGATCCATGGTGGTTTGTTGAGGACCCAGATTCAGAGACGAAGGCAGGCATGGTTTCTTGTAGACTTGATGAGGGTGGTGGCAACAGAAGCATGAACCCAGAAACAAAACTGACCAGGGAACATGGGGGAATGAAGAGAACCCAGCAAAGAGGAGGATTATGTATGCCAAAGAGAACAAGGAATATAGTCGGCAACTGATGGGGAACAGGTGGGACAAAAGTATCTAGAAGGGAGCTAAGGAAAAGGAGAGGGGCACTAGGGGGCAACAGAGAGTAACCAGGAAATACAACAACGCTTAAATACAACTAAAAAATAACTTGAATGACACTACTTGGAAATTAAACTAATATCTTAGTTACAGAATGAAAAATCAAAGTTTAACTGAAAACTTAAAGTAAAAACTTGAACAGAACCAAAGATCCTGATCAGGAGATCATGACAATTTCTTTCACAGTTTTATCAGTTTGAAACTCTAAGCAATGCACTGTTAGCTCCAGTTGCATTAAAATGAGATCCTAGTTTCATCCATTACATCTGAGGTCTTGAGGGTGACAAATGCCTCTTTGGTTCTGTGGTCCTGGTTTCCTTTTGCACCTCCATGACAAAACCCCTGAAACCCAACACTGTCCCATTTGGTACATTTGTTTTAAAACTCCCACTGAGGTCCTTAAATTTCTTAGTCGGTAACCAATCAGTAAGAGACAAAGATCCAATGAAACTAGTCAAAAATGGTGAATTAGCTGGTTGAAAAGAGATGTTTTTGGACAAAAGGCTCCCCCCCCCCACTCTTCCCACCTTTTTGTTTTTGGTGTTGTAGCAACTTAGCAACACTAGAGGAAATAAAAATGTCTCCACATGTTTAATACTAATACTGGTGAGATGGATTATTCTTGTCAAAACTGATATACAGATACACTATATTGCCAAAAGTATTTGCTCACCTGCCTTGACTCACATATGAGCTTAAGTGACATCCCGTTCCTAATCCATAGGGTTCAATATGACGTCGGTCCACCCTTTGCAGCTAGAACAGCTTCAACTCTTCTGGGAAGGCTGTCCACAAGGTTTAGGAGTGTGTTTATGGGAATTTTTGACCATTCTTCCAGAAGCGCATTTGTGAGGTCGCACACTGATGTTGGACGAGAAGGCCTGGCTCTCAGTCTCCGCTCTAATTCATCCCAAAGGTGTTCTATCGGGTTGAGGTCAGGACTCTGTGCAGGCCAGTCAAGTTCATCCACACCAGACTCTGTCATCCATGTCTTTATGGACCTTGCTTTGTGCACTGGTGCACAGTCATGTTGGAAGAGGAAGGGGCCAGCTCCAAACTGTTCCCACAAAGTTGGGAGCATGGAATTGTCCAAAATGTCTTGGTATGCTGAAGCATTCAGAGTTCCTTTCACTGGAACTAAGGGGCCAAGCCCAGCTCCTGAAAAACAACCTCACACCATAATCCCCCCTCCACCAAACTTTACACTTGGCACAATGCAGTCAGACAAGTACCGTTCTCCTGGCAACCGCCAAACCCAGACCCGTCCATCAGATTGCCAGATGGAGAAGCGCGATTCGTCACTCCAGAGAACGCGTCTCCACTGCTCTAGAGTCCAGTGGCGGCGTGCTTTACACCACCGCATCCGACGCTTTGCATTGCACTTGGTGATGTATGGCTTGGATGCAGCTGCTCGACCATGGAAACCCATTCCATGAAGCTCTCTGCGCACTGTTCTTGAGCTAATCTGAAGGCCACATGAAGTTTGGAGGTCTGTAGTGATTGACTCTGCAGAAAGTTGGCGACCTCTTCGCACTATGCGCGTCAGCATCCGCTGACCCCGCTCCGTCAGTTTACGTGGCCTACCTCTTCGTGGCTGAGTTGCTGTCGTTCCCAAACACTTCCATTTTCTTATAATACAGCTGACAGTTGACTGTGGAATATTTAGGAGCGAGGAAATTTCACGACTGGATTTGTTGCACAGGTGGCATCCTATCACAGTTCCACGCTGGAATTCACTGAGCTCCTGAGAGCGACCCATTCTTTCACAAATGTTTGTAAAAACAGTCTGCATGCCTAGGTGCTTGAATTTATACACCTGTGGCCATGGAAGTGATTGGAACACCTGATTCCAATAATTTGGATGGGTGAGCAAATACTTTTGGCAATATAGTGTATATCTGTTTTGGATGTTGTTCATCTACATCTAAAAAGGACACAAGAGTACAACGGTCAACATTTGGTTGAGGTTTTGAGGACCCAAAAGCAGAGGCGGTGAGGCAGAGGTGAGTTCTTGTAGTTTTCAGTTCACACAAGCAACAGAGGCATGAATCCAAAAAAATTCAACAGAAAAATGCAAAACCAACCAGAACAATGGAGAGTGAAGTAGTTTGGTCGAGGATCAGCAAGGTGAACAAAAAAAAAAAAAAAGTTTCACCGGTTCCAGATTTCTGCTCTCTTTTATTTGGCACTTTTCACTCCGACAACGATTCCTGAGCTTCCAAGAGCTCAGTGCTTATATAACCAATTGGCAAAACACCTGCACTTGAGTGGACCAAGCCACAATTAAACAGGTAGAAAAAACTAAAGTCTAAACAGAGAAACAAGAATAAAATTATTAATCTAATTTACAAACTCATCTGAGTCTGCAAAATAAACAATGTGATACAAGATAACCCCAAAAGTTACTTTAAAAACAAATGAAAATAAAATAAATGGTAGAACCCAGCAAGGTAATTGGTTACATCATCTAGCCCAGGCATCCCCAAAGTCGGTCCTCGAGGGCCGCTGTCCTGCAGGTTTTAGAGGTTTCTCTGCTTTAGCACAGCTGATTCTGATGAATGCAGTTCAGCAAAAGCCTGTTAATCAGCTATCAATGTAAATCAGCTGTGCTGGAGCAGAGAAACCTCTAAAACCTGCAGGACGGTGGCCCTCCAGGACTGACTTTGGGGATGCTTGATCTAGCCATTTTAGCAGGAAATACTGGGACAAACAATTGAGTAAAAAGGAAAACAAATACCATAAATATATTTTCAAAAAAATAAACAGTTTCAACCAATAAACCAGAAGTAATAGCTTTCACCTTAACACACAGATGGAAACTGCAACATAATGCTACACAAACAGACCTGGGATAGTAAATGAATAAAAGTCACAAACTAATGTTTAAATTTAAGCATTATAAATCAGAAGGAAGAATAAGGGACAAGTGGGGAACGCAAACTCAACCACTCGGTCACAGAGACATCAGGGGACCATTGACGAGGAGCCGGGAAACACGAGGATTCTTCTTCTTCTTCTTCTTGTTTTATGGCGGTTGGCAAACAATTAAGAGGTGCATTACCGCCACCAACCAGTAATGAGTGTGGATCAAGACAGACATGCTCAAAAAAAAAAAAAAAAAAAGGGGAAGAAAACCTAAATTCTTTTCACTAAACCTGTAGCCAATAAATAACGAAAAAGTAATCTTCCTTTGAATCTTCTTCCCACTCTTTTTGCCAATCTTTTCGGATCTTTCTTTTAAAAACTTTTAACTTCTATTTTACTCATATCGATTTTTATATCACTCTTACTTTGGTTTATTGCCATCTGCCTCAAGTTTTTGTATAACTTGATCCAACGACATATTCCTCATCCCTAAGAATTTCTCAGCTCCTTTAACAATGATTTTGATTTTCTCATTTTTATGTTTAAAGCTGAAGTCTGTAAGTTTTTAAAAATCACTTTTTTGTCATATTGCTTAAAACTGTCCCTATGCCCAGACAGCAGTACATGTGATATGTAACCTGTGAAAAAAACTGCTTCAATTGGTACCGCCTACTGCCTGTATTTCAATCTGGAAAGAATAATTCGGGACGAGTCAAAACAACCAATCACAGCCAGAGGAGCGTCTGATGGAGTGTCAATCACAGCTCACACACGCTGAATCACGCCCCCCCCCCCCCCCCCCCCCTTCTGGTCACATGCGGTAGCCGCGCAGATGCTGTGAGAGGTGAGAGGGGTGGAGCTTGGAGGTGGGGCATGAGTGAAGCAGAGAGGGTGGGGGAGTGGCGTGAAACCTGTTTTTCTTCAAATTTTCAGTCGAAGTCTGCTCTCTCCTCAATGTTACAGACTGCAGCTTTAACCTGGTCCGTGCAGTTAATAACATAAGCCACAAACAAAACAAGTTTGTCAAAGTCAACAGGGTTATAAACCCTGGCATGCTGCTCTGGTTCTCGCCTTAATACTTGAATCTTTTCCTGAACCTTCTTTAATGCCTCAGCATAACTTAGGTTGTTTGTTGATTTCACTTTTTGAACCTCAACTGCTTTCTTCCTAAATTCACACCCTCCATATGTTGCCCTGTGCTCTCCACCACAATTACAGCATTTAATCTGAGTATTTTCACCACATTCTTGAATTTTGTGCTCCCCTCCACATTTTAAACATCTCTGTTTGCCCCTGCACACTGCAGCAATGTGACCATATCTCTGACACTTGTAACACCGAAGTGGAGGAGGAACATAAGGCCTGACTGGATAACACATGAAACCCACTTTAACTCTCTCCGGGACTTCTGGAGTAGAAAATTTCAGAAGCACAGATAAGCTGTCAACTCTCTCATTGTTCACTGTTTTCTGCAATCTCTTTATATCACTGACTTCAACATTATGGATGTTATGTTTTAATTTCTCCAGATCTTCATTAACCGGAATTCCGTAAATAACTCCTCGGGAATCTTTCTTTTCTCCCAACACTCTTTTACTCTCCACTCTTTTCTTTCCAATACTTTCAACACTCATTGCTTTCCTTTTGTGCTCTTCTGATTTACAGACGATTAGCAAGTTTCCATCTCTCAGAGTTTTAGCCATTTCAACTTCCCCCACTTTCTTTTTTAGCTCCTTAGAGACTATTACTGGGCTCAGAATAATATTTTCATCTTCCTATCTGAATTTTAATATTATCTTCACCTCTTCTTTCATGATTTTTTTACGTACACCCTTGCTTCCATCATCTGTGCTTTCGTCTTCAAGGTTTCTTTTGATTCCTGAATTCTCACAAGCTCTGCCCGCTTCACTACTTTTGGATTTTCCATTTCTCCGGTAACTACCAACTGGCATCCAACTATCCATATCCGAATCACTTTCTAGCTCTTCCTCATCCTCTACAACTTGAGCCGCCATCTTGATCCCACAAACTGGCTTTTGACTCGGATCAGTGTCGTTGTCATCGTCTCCTTCTTCCGACGAGGACCCCCAAACCATTTTGCGTCGCCGAGATCTCGGAGACCTGCTCATGTCTGAAGCTGTTCTCCCGCCGGAAACACGAGGATCTTTTCAGGGATAGTATTTATGGGAGGCTGAACAAAGACAGGACTAATGAGATGATTGGGAGCAGGTGTGAACAGAGGCTTTTAGAAGGAGCTAGGAAAAGAAGGCCACTAGGGGGCAACAAAGAAAAACTAAGAACTCAAATGTATCCAGAAAACACCAATAAAACTAGAAAACAGAGAAAAACATGGATCAACGTGAAACTGACAACTCACAGAAAACTTAACAGAACCAAGACAATGACAACAGAAAGAAATGGCATCATAAAACAATGGTGTTGGCCTGTGATCCTGCTTTTATTGTTTTAAACTTAACGCATTTTTTATTAATCTATTTTTGAAAGCATAACAAAACATGGATTTCCCATGATTACTACTACCGATGGAGCGAACTGCATTCAATAAAAAACAAACAAAAAAAACTCATATTTTGATCAGGATCTCGTTGGTTTATCTTGCAATTATGATGTCGTATTCAGATGTTTATGAAACTTTTTCTCATAAAGCTGCCATAAGTTCCTAAATATGACGTAAAAAAAATAGCTCAGACCGGGTCGGAACCATTGTGTCAGGTTGATTGTGAGGTCGGCCCGTTTTAAGTGTTACTCAGGGGGTGATAAACAAGCAGGTTGCTAGCCGCTTGCGGTAAATTCGGTAAGTTTATATAAATATAAAATAATGATTGCAGCTACATATAAAGCAGTCGAAAATTAGTCAGAGGTTAGGCTGTTCGTTGGCAAGAAGCCCGGCTTCTTGCCTGGAAGCGGCGCTGTGAAGCTAACGGAGCTAGCATTAGCTAACCCTAACCTCCATCTGACTGGACACAGAAGAGAGCCAGACAACCGAACCGACACCAGAGCCTCAATAACACAACTTTCCTTTTCCTTAAACAGGGGCTTTGACCAAAGTGCTAAGTAGTTTGATTTTACAGCAAAGATAATAAAAATATAGTTCACCAAATTATGTCAAAATCACACATTTAGATAAAAAGAACAAACAAATATGCTAGTTGCTATCTGTCATTTAATTTCACTTAAAACCTATAAAATTAAAATATTTTAATTTAAAATATCTTTTTACATGTTTACCTTTAGCTATTTAATTTCCCTTTTCCATCCTTTCAAGTATTTAACTGTGGGCTGATAAGGTAATACTATACTGCAAATTTATAGTCAAACAGTCAAAAACTATTTTGGATGCTAAGATACTTTTCAGCTATTTTTTAATATAAAATTATTAGAATTAAGATTTATCATTTTAATATTCATTGATCATTTACTGTTTATAACTGGGTCTGGACCCTCCTCTGGCTAAATAAAGAAATGTATTCACCTTCAGGCAAATCAAATAGTTTAAGACTAAATGCCAAAACTTTCCACCTCGGCTGCTGAGAGGATGAAAAATAAGGATTTCTATCTGCTTTTATGTTTCCATCATGAGTCCACAGATCTGGACCTCATCAGCTCAGACATCACTGCTAAACTAGAGGCTCAGGAGGGGCAGACCTTATCAGATTGATTAATAAAACAGCCAAATTAACCCATTTTCTGTCTATATAACTGATATTGGTGTAAAATCCTTTTTTTTTTATTTGTACAAGATTAGACCTAAGTGGAAACTTGGGTTTTTAGAATTAGCATTAAAGTAAACAAGTTGGATATCAAAACAAATGATTTCGTTTTAGAGCAGATGATGTCTTAAGGCAAACTGGTTTGCAGCATTTTAAAATCTTAGAAGCAGTTGTCTGATATAGAGCAGAACAAATCATTATTGCTCTCCAGTTTTTAAAATTCTAGTGTGATATTTTAGACCAAAACCTGAAATCTAGTTTTTGTTTTTCTCTGCAGCTTCCTGCAAATGTTATTAGATGCATGATTTGTTGTTTTGAGGCATTTAGAATACATATTTAACGGCTAACAGCGCTTTATTTAGCCAAAGAGTGCTGCTCCAATATGTTTTTTCTTTTATAATTATTCAGAATTAATCCCCTTTTTAAAGTAGCAGATAAAGATGAGAATAATAATACTTTTGAAACATTTTCAGGTCAGGAAGATGACTTGGAGTGTTTGGAGGGTTACACTGGCGTGCATCGCCACTGTCACCTGTTGCATTTTATCTAGCTGACTGGTTTTTGGCAGAGATAAATCATTTCAAAACTGCTCTGTTTGCACCAACATGGTTGATCTGCAGAATAATTTATAGCAGTTGGCAGAGATGATATAAAATCCCAATACATTTTTCCTAGACTTTAATTTATTTTCTCCAAGTTTAGACCTGCTGGTCCCTTTAGAGATACGGCTGCTTATTTTAAATTATCTCAATAAAACTTCAAGGATTTGTATCTAGTTTAAGTCCAGAGTTTTTACATAGCTGTGATACTGATGTTTGCTGCTGCAGGGTCGCTCTGATGGCCGACGGAGAAGTGGCGGGAGTCGACCTCAGCAGGAAGTTTGTCTCTGAGTCGGAGCTCGACGAGAGGAGGAAGAAGAGGCAGGAGGAATGGGAGAAAGTCAGGAAGCCAGACGATCCAGAGGGTGGGAGCGAATGCATGGAAGTCCTGCAGCGTGACCAATGGCGCCACTCGTTTTTTAAAAACGTGTCTGTCTGTTTGTTCACCAGAGGCCCCAGAGGAGGAGTACGACCCTCGATGTCTCTATGACCGGCTGCAGGAGCAGAAGGACAAGAAACAGCAGGAATATGAGGAGCAGTTTAAGTTCCGTAGGTCTATTTCATCAAGTCCAACCAGATTCACATGTATTCCTCATCATGAAGGACAGCAGCTCTCCAAGGGATCTGCTGCCAGTGATCCTTTTGCATCAAAGTACACCCAGGAAAATAACAGAAAGCTGAACAGTGCCTGGTTAGGTTACAGTCATGTTCTCAATCTGCTTCCTGCTTTGTTTGGTGGGAATGTTGGGTCCTGCCTTGTGTAGTTAGCTGTGTTATGATTTGAAATCAGTTTTTCCTCTCCTTTTGTAATCACCCAGCGTAGGATAAAGGTTAGCCATGGTGATAATTCCAGCATGTTAAAGATCAACAATGATTCATATGCACAGCATTCCAACGATCCACTTATCCACAGATCAGCTTGTTGGCTTAAAGCCCTGTTTATGTTATGATGCTAATTCAGTGGAAGACAGACTCTTTAGCCTTCAATTAATGCTCTCTTTGTTCTGCCTTTTGGTGACAGGAAACATGGTGAGGGGACTGGACGAGGATGAGACCAGTTTCCTGGACGAGGTTTCCCGGCAGCAGGTCCTGGTTGAGAAGCAGCGGAGAGACGAGGAGAAGAAGGAGCTCCTGGAATACAGAATATCCTTTTTTATGGGAAGCTTTCTGGTTGGGGCTGTAGAGTTTCCTGAATTATTGTGAGGTTTAGAACTGGGCAATGACATCCAGAGAATCAATAGTACGCCATGATGATGAAGACTAGCATCAATAGTACGCCATGATGAGGAAAACTAGCATCAATAGTACGCCATGATGAGGAAGACTAGCATCAATAGTATGCCTGGTGATGACCAAGATTAGCATCAATAGTACACCATGATGACGAAGATTAGTATCAATAGGGCACCATGATGACGAAGATTAGCATTAATAGAATGCCATGATGATGAAGACTAGCCTCAATAGTACGCCTTGATGAAGAAGACAAGGTTCGCTCTAGTGCTCCATGATGATGAAGATTAGCATCAATAGAACGCCATGCTGAGGAAGAATAGCATCAACAGTACGCCATAATAACGAAGACCACCATTAATAGAAGGCCATAATGACTAAGACAAGCATCAATAGAACGCCATGATGACAAAGATTAGCATCAATAGTATGCCATGATGACGAAGACTAGCATCAATAGAACGCCATGATGACAAAGATTAGCATCAATAGTATGCCATGATGACGAAGACTAGCATTAATAGAATGCCATGATGACAAAGATTAGCATCAATAGAACGCCATGATGACAAAGACTAGCATCAATAGTACGCCATGATGACGAAGACTAGCATCAATAGTACGCCATGATGATGAAGACTAGCATCAATAGTACGCCATGATGACGAAGACTAGCATCAATAGTACGCCATGATGATGAAGACTAGCATCAATAGTACGCCATGATGACGAAGACTAGCATCAATAGTACGCCATGATGACGAAGACTAGCATCAATAGCACGCTCACTCTGTATTGTGGAAGATCAAGTTAGACACTGAAGTTCTGTGTCTTGTAACTGTTACCAAGGTTACCAAGGGAAACAGCAAATCTGAATTTGTTTATTTAACATTTGACATGTTGTGTTTGAACTCCTTGACTCTTCACCATCACAGTGCTTTGCAGAAGCAAACATCAGCATCAGCAGACGGTCGGCGGGAGACCGAGAAGAAGGCGGGGCCTAAACCTTCAGGGGCAGAACCAAAGACCAGCCACTTGTCTCAGGCCCATTTATTAGTTGGAGCTGTTAAAAGACGCAGGTATGCTGACAAATCCATCACTCCTTTAACCTGAAACATTCACTACAATCAGCTGTGGTTTCCTTTATCAGGTTATGTCCAACATTCTCGTTGTCGGTCTGCTCGCTCCGTCTGTTCCTCCCAAACACTTTACTGAACAGGAATAGCAGAACATGGATCTGATGTTTATTAAGGAGGACAATCCCTCCTGGTGTTTCTTCAAGTCTAGGTTATAAAAGTTCAGGATTTCTTAACCTGGATTTACAGACTGGGCTCATCATTTAAACAAGGGGTTCCTGATGCATTCTAGAACAAGTGACTTTGGATTTAACCTGAGGAATAATGGAACTGGCCCTCAGCTGCTCAGCTTCTAGTGTTGTGCATGATCTTGGAGTTCCTTCCTTCCTTCCTTCCTTCCTTCCTTCCTTCCTTCCTTCCTTCCTTCCTTCCTTCCTTCCTTCCTTCCTTCCTTCCTTCCTTCCTTCCTTCCAATTTATCCCACCTTCCTCTCCTATATCTCTCCTTCCTTCTTCCCCCCCCTCTCTTCTTCCTTCCTTCCTCCCCTCCATCTTTCCTTGTATCCCTCCTTCCTTCCCTATATCCCTCCTTCCCTCTCTCCTTCCTTCCTTCCTTCCTTCCTTCCTTCCTTCCTTCCTTCCTTCCTTCCTTCCTTCCTTCCTTCCTTCCTTCCTTCCTTCCTTCCTTCCTTCCTCCCCTCCATCTTTCCTTGTATCCTTCCTTTCTTGTATCACTCCTCCTTTCTTCCTTCCCCTCCCACTCCTTCCTTCCTTCCTTCCTTGTTCCTCCCCTCCATCTTTCTTTGTATCCCTCCTTCCTTCCCTATATCCCCCCGTCCCTCTCTCTCTCTCTCCTTCCTTCCTTCCTTCCTTCCTTCCTTCCTTCCGATTTATCCCACCTTCCTCTCCTATATCTCTCCTTCCTTCTTCCCCCCCCCCCTCCTTCCTTCCTTCCTCCCCTCCATCTTTCCTTGTATCCCTCCTTCCTTCCCTATATCCCTCCTTCCCTCTCTCCCTCTCTCCTTCCTTCCTTCCTTCCTTCCTTCCTTCTTCCCCTCCATCTTTCCTTGTATCCCTCCTTTCTTGTATCACTCCTTCTTTCTTCCTTCCCCTCCCACTCCTTCCTTCCTTCCTTCCTTGTTCCTCCCCTCCATCTTTCTTTGTATCCCTCCTTCCTTCCCTTTCCTTCCCTATATTCCCTCTCTCTCTCCTTCCTTCCTTCCTTCCTTGTTCCTCCCCTCCATCTTTCCTTGTATCCCTCCTTCCTTCCCTTTATTCCTCCGTCCTTCCTTCCTTCCTTCCTTCTTTGTATACTTTCTTCCCTATATTCCTCCTTCCTTCCCTTTATCCTTCCTTCCTTCTACCCCCCTTTCCTTCCCTCATTCCGTCCTTTTATCCCTCCTTTCTTCCTCTCTTCTTTCCTTATTTCTTTCCTTTCTCTCCTTCCTTCCCTCCCCCCCCCCTCCCTTCTTTCCTTATTTCTTTCCTTTCTCTCCTTCCATCCTGCTTCCTTCCCCCCCCCCCCCCCCCCCCCCCCTCTTTGATGGTGGTTCTCCTGTGGGAGGAATCGGATATGAACCCCTTTTCTCTCTTTCAGCTCCTCGCATTCATCCGACAGTGGGAAGAAGCAGAAGAAGGATGACAGAAGGGCAACAGGAGATGGAGACAGAACTGCAGGTGGGGATCAGTGTGATGCTGGTGGGCATAAAGTTCAGGATCTTTCAGCTTTACCCGAAAGAAGCTTTAACAAATGAACCAGTCTCTGGTTCACAGAATCACAGAATCACTTAGATTCTGGATTTAGCAGCGAGTGCAGAGTCCAAACTGTTCGGAGACCTGTGATCTTATTTAATTTCTGCTGGAGGTTTCTTCCTGTTAAAGGAAATTTTCCACTCCACTGTCGCTACAAGCATGCTGAGTATGAGGGATTGCTGAAGAGTGAATGAGTCGACACAATCAGCTGCTTTTCCCTAGAAAACTTTTAATCTGACTGTTCTGTCTCTATAAAGATACCTGAGATGATATGTTGTGAATTGATGAGATAAAAATAAACTGAATTGAATTTCAGTCAGATTCAGAGCGATTTCCTGCAGCATTTTAGGCCAGCTTTGTCACCACATAAACACGGTGGTGGCAGCATAATGCTTTCAGGAGGCTTTGTTCAGCAGGGGAAGAACAACTCCTGTTGTAGTCTGCAGCAGACCTGAGGGTGGATTGCAGGTTCTCCTTCCAGCCATGTTTCCCAACAGCCTAGTCAAAGTACAGACATGAATCTAAAGCAGAATCCTTGGAAAGACTTAAAGACTTTATCTTTCTATAGTCAAAGCTGGTCTATTCCAAGGTTTGGGGTAAAGATGGACGATGTTACTGAATTTTTGGGGGATGAGCAAAAATATAGAGAAGTAAAATGTTCACAAAGACACAGAAATAAAAAAAATATCTTATGGTTTACAATAAAATTTGTAACTAATATTATTGGAGCTTTCAAAAAAGGTTTCCTTCTTGAAGGAAGTGTCCAGCCGCAGCGGTTCTGATTCTGATTGTTTTCCTGCTCAGAGCAGGATGGAGGAGCAGCAGGAGGACGAAGCAGGGAAGCTGAGGATCACCGAGCCGTTCCAGGTCTCACAGCCAAGACTCCGCCCTCCACCCGAGGAGTGCTTCACCTGCCATCGGCCGCCGTGTGCGTCGGCGTTTTGCCCGGGCTCAGCGCTTATTCTGGCAGCAGCGACTCTGACAGCAGCTCGGACAGCGAAGGTAGCGTAGATGCAATCATGTCGCCGTACCCACGGCACAGCAGGGCCTACAGATAGACACACCCACTCATCCACCCACCCACAGAAACACTAAGTAAAGCTTTGAGCTCCAGCCGTTAGAGCTGTTCACTCTGCTCCTCTCACAGCTGGGAGTTTAACTTCTCTTTCTCCAAATTTCAGCCCAAACCTGATCTGTTCATCATGTCTGTTTCCTTTACTGTGGCTCTGAAACATGATTCTTCCCTCAATCACATCTCATGCAGTTTAAGGCGACCCTGCCAGCGGCTGAAGGCTGTGCTGGTGGCTGAGCGAACAGTGACTGACAGCTGTGGAGTGAAGACCAGGGCGGCTTTAGGACTCTGATTGTTTTAGACGAGTCAGAGCAGGATGCAGCTTTTTCAATTTACCATGCTGGACTTGTTCTTTGCTTCTCTCTCTGGTGTTTAAAATTTTAATTAAAAAATGTGGATCCTTATCCTCTTGTGTTTACTGACACATTTGTGTTTTAGAAACGTCAGGCCGCTGCCTGCATGGGAAATCATGTAATAAATGGATTTATTGAACTTCATCGACTCACATTGGGATTTTTTTTTCTTTATTCCAGAATCTTCTCCTTTCTGTCTCTTCTCAGTTTCAGTCTCCGCTTTGGGTTCAATGTATTAAAACATGAAAAAAATTAAAACAGGATTACTTTCCTTTTTTCCTATAGTGTCTTACATCCTGACATCTAAGGTTACTTTCTAGATCAATCAGATTTTCCATTTCAAAGTATCAAAGGAAAACCAGCTGATTGCATCCAGTCTCTAACTTTAAAGGATGAGCAGATAGACAGTAGATATTAACTCTTTAGCAATCCCCCACACTGAGCATGCATGCAGCGATAGTGGAGAGGAAAACTCTTTTTGAACAGAAAGAAACCTCCAGCAGAACCAGGCTCAGTGTGAGTGGCCATATGCTGAGACCAACTGGGGTTCAAGGAGACAGAAGCAGACATAAAAAAAGTGATATTTCTCTCCAGGATGGAGTCACAGCCAAACAGGAACAGACCAGATGAAGCTACTATAATGAGAAAAAGTAGAGAGAGCATAAGGTTAGAGATTGAACTAACACATTCTACAGAATGGCTTTTAGAGATGGAATGAAGCAGAATGATGAAAAGGGTTCCATATGTCCTCCAGCAGTCTAAGCCTATAGCAGCATAACTATAGAGATAGCTCAGGATAACCTGAGCCACTCTAACTAGAAGCTTTATCAAAAAGGAAAGTTTTAAGCCTAGCCTTAAAAGTAGACAGGATGTCTGCGTCATGGGCTACAACTGGTAGTTGGTAAACCTGCAGACTTAGAGCGAAGTGCTCTGTTTGGAACATAAGGAACATGCATATCCTCAAGTGATTCAGCCCCCCGTAATTGACATTTATGCACTATTTTTGCACGCCAGGTATCACTTTACTTGGATTTATTCACTTTAATTGGACTTTTCACTTTATTTGGATTTAGTTTTTACATATACATAGATATACGTACAGATATATATACAGAAGAGCTATATGTGTATATATATTTTATCTCTCTTTATTCTTATTTTTTATCTTTATTATATTGTATAGTTGGATGTGTGTATATATCATATAAAACTTTAACTAGAGCGTGTAACAAAAGTAATTTCCCTCTGGGATTATTAAAGTATTTCTGATTCTGATATCTATGATATTGGTTATTTAAGGCTTTATATGTGAGAAGGAGGATTTTAAATTCTATTCTGGATTTAACAGGAAGCCAATGAAGAGAAGCCAGGACAGGAGAGATATGATCTCTCTTTTTCATTTTCATCAGAACTCTGGCTGCAGCATTTTGGATCAGCCCAAGGCTGAATACCAAAATAGAGATCATATCTCTCCTATCCTGGCTTCTCTTCATTGGCTTCCTGTTAAATCCAGAATAGAATTTAAAATCCCCCATCTGACATATAAAGTCTTAAATGGCCAAGCTCCATCTTATATCAGAGATCTGATTGTTCCTTATGTTCCTAACAGAGCACTTCGCTCTCAATCTGCAGGTTTACTAGTGGTTCCTAGAATTTCTAAAAGTAGAATGGGAGGCAGATCTTTTAGTTATCAGGCTCCTCTCCTGTGGAACCAACTACCAGTTTTAGTCCGTGAGGCAGACACCCTGTCTACTTTTAAGGCTTGGCTTAAAACTTTCATTTTTGATAACGCTTATAGTTAGAGGGGCTCAGGTTATCCTGAGCTATCTCTATAGTTATGCTGCTATAGGCTTAGACTGCTGGAGGACATAGGGACCCCATTTTCATCATTCTGCTTCATTCTATCTCTATTCTCCCACTCTGCAGAATCTATTACTTTAATCTCTAACGTTCTGCTCTCTCTGCTTTTTCTCATAGTAGCTTTGCCTCATCTGTTCCTGTTTGGCTGTGACTCCATCCTGGAGAGAAATATCAGCTCTGCTGCTGCCATTAACACTCTTACTTATAGATGTTGGAGATCTGCCTGTTTTCCAGTGTAGTCCTGTTTCTCTGACTGTGATTGGCTGGATGTGCTCTCTTCATCCTGCCTGGCTGTGTGTTTCCTGGACAGGGTCGCCTTTTACAGTTTCTTATTGTGTCTCTGCTTCTGTCTCCTTGAACCCCAGTCGGCCTCAGCAGATGGCCGCTACACTGAACCTGGTTCTGCTGGAGGTTTCTTCCTGTTAAAAGGGAGTTTTTCCTCTCTACGGTCGCTACAAGCATGCTTAGTGTGAGGGATTGCATCCGAGTTAATGAGTCGATGCAATCAACTGGTTTTCCTTAGATAGAAAACTTTGAATCAACTTGACTGTATGATCTGGTGAACTGTAAAGTGCCTTGAGATGACATGTCTTGAATTGGCGCTATAGAAATAAACTGAATTTTATTGAAATTTAACTGCTCTGTACTTTGTTTGAATTAATGGTTTTATGGAGACCTTGACAGCTTTTTCAGACTTTTAAGATCGTGCGAAAAATTTCATGTCAGAACCGAGCAGAACTACAAGTTGTGAAGGCTATGATTGTCTTGTTTTAATTTTTTTGCAAAGAAAGAAAGAGTCAACTGAGAGAATATCCACCGATCTCGTTATATTTGACTGGATTGCATGGTTGAATACTTTTTCACACAACACATTAAAAGCTGCATTTAAGCTATCATCTCCAATGTCACCATGGATGTTAACCCTTTAAAGCTCGATCCAAGAATAAAACAAAACAGAGAATTACTTTTTTTTTGGTTTGAAGTCCTTATTTGGCCTTTAAACAATATATGTAAAAAGAAAAAACAAATACATTTTTGATATAATTTATTACTATGCGATAAGTCAAGATTATTTTTTGTGTAGTCTTCTGCCCTGTTATCAGGTATAGCTGATTGTGTACAATAGGATTTTGAGCAAAGTTTTTACCATTAAATTATGCAAAAGGTGTCAGACGCAAAACATTTCAGAGACCGTCTGTATCAAATATGATACATTTGGCATTACAGGGTTAGAATCCCCCATTATGACGACCTCGTCAGTATTTGAAACTAAATCAGGTCCTCTGAAAATTCATCTAAAAATTTAGAGTAAGGACCTCGTGGACGGATCAAAGTCACAAAAATAAGAGGTTTTGTTGCCTAGTTTGCAATTTGGATGAGGGAAACTAAGGGTTAAATGTTCAAAAGAGTTGTAATTAGTAACTTGTTGTTACTCTTCCTCCTCACCTAGAATTTCTGGGTATGTGAAAATTTAAATAACTAGATGCTCACAATCCTCTTGCAGTCATGTTTCAGTGAGATAAATAAACTTTTATCACAGATCAAGTCTTTGACTAACTATTGGAAACTATGGTATTTTAAAATTAACTTTAAAAAGTTCAGTTTGACTTTGGAACATCGGTATTATATTAATGTGGGGTTAGAAAACAGAAGGTTTAACTTCAGCCCATAGAAAGTCACTTTTTTTTTTATTAACCATTTATCCATCAGATTGTTGGGATATCTTCTGCATCTTTAAAAAACATTGAAAGAAAAGTCAAAGGTAAAAATATTTAGCATTTTTATTCTTTGATGAACATTTTCAAACTCCAAGAAAGTATCAAGTCCACGACCTTCTGGTTCCAACATCTTCACAAGCCCAAAATATAAAGAGCTTCAAATATTCAGGTCACCTTGTTCAAGATGAAAGTGCTGCCTACGTTTTTATGAAACTCCTAAAAGCAGAACATTTGGATAGGATGTAATTTATCCAGAGATGTGCCCTCCTGAGGATAAATCTGCCCGAGGTGAGGAAGGAGCCGGTTTCTGGTTGGTGTTCTGACTGTCTGAACGTGTCCCATCATACAGCACTATGAGGCTTCTCTGATGGTGGTTTTGGAGTCAGCAGATACCTCATAGCCCAGTGCAGCAGAGACGCAGCCACTCTGAACCGGCTGAAGTCCTGCAGGTTCTGACCCGTCACTGTGTAGGAGTATGTGAATGGCCTGCCGTCGCTGTGAACGCTGGGGGGCGTTCTCAGGGCGGCTCCAGCGTCGGTCAGTGTTGGACAGTCTTCATCCCTGCTTCTGGACGCTCCGATCTGGGAGTCGAAGAGCCAGGATGGAGGCCCCCCGCTGAGCTCCTCCTCTTCCTCCACTGCTGCCTCCTCACAGCGCTTCCTCTTGGGTTTCCTGTAGTTCGCCTGAGTATCGTCCTCCTGGCCGTTCTGGGCGTTTGCTCCATCTGATGCTTGAGGTTCTGCTGGGCTTGTTGATGAAGAGGAAGCTGGAAGACTGACGAGAGGCTGGTTCTGGTAAGGAGGCAGAAAGCTGTGGATGGGAGGCTGTGTGCTGGTTGCCATGGTAACGCAATCTGGATTGGCGCGAGGCGGGGTTGGAGTCGAGTCTGGAGATGAATTTGAGGAGCAAAAGCTGACGTCTGGAGGGGGGTAGATGTCCCAAGGATTTGAGGGAAGCATGGCAGCTAGGTCCGGCAGAGGAGGGTCATCCTCCATCAGAGAAGGAGAATGCTCCCCTGGAGCGGACCCCGTCTCTTCAACTGGAGCGGACCCCGTCTCTCCAGCTGGACCGGATCCCGTCTCTCCAGCTGGACCGGACCCCGTCTCTCCAGCTGGACCGGACCCCGTCTCTCCAGCTCGACTGGACCCCATCTCTCCAGCTGGACCATCTGGAATGGACCCCATCTCTCCAGCTGAACCGGATCCCGTCTCTCCAGCTGGACCATCTGGACTGGACCCCATCTCTCCAGATGGACCATCTGGACCGGACCCCGTCTCTCCAGCTCGACTGGACCCCATCTCTCCAGCTGGACCGGACCCTGTCTCTCCAGCTTGACTGGACCCCGTCCCTCTAGCTGGACTGGTTCTCGTCCCTCCATCTGGACGGGATCCCATCCCTCCACCTGCAGGCTCAGGTTTCCGGCATTCTGCCTCCACCTGCCTTGTAGCTCCAGCATCTCCCTCTGGAATGAGGAGAAACCTCTCTGGGATGCTGAAGCTGGGCTGTCCTCTGTACCTGACCCGGTCCAGGTCCCAGTGGGTGGAGCAGCTCAGGGACAGGCTGGGAGCAGAGGTGGAGGGTTGGGGGCTCCTCAGAGCCAGCAGCTTCTTCCTGACGTCCTCCAGCAGGGTCTGCAGACAGTCGTGCTGCCACGCCCCCAGCAGCTCGGACAGATCCATTCCACCCTGGCTCGACTGGGAGTCCTCCTGACCCAGCAGAGACCTCCAGGTTCTGCAGATCTTCATCCTAACGGATGCCAGGCTGGTGCAGCAGGGCGGGCTGTCTTTAACGGGACCCGCAGCAAAGGTGGCCATCTCCCCCACTGACAGGAAGAACCAGCACCTGGTCTGTTCCGGGTCCATGTGGAACTGCAGCATGAAGTTCTTCAGGATCACGGTGCTGTTCGGGAGGCTGCTGAACGACTCCCGATCCTCCTGCTCCTGGAGGGTCTCCCAGGCGGAGGCAGTGAGCACTGCGGGCATCTGGAGCGATCCGTCAGACAGGAAGAGCAGTCCTGTCGGGCCATCGGTAGCCAGAGCCTGGGACTCGCTCATCTGACCCACCCCGATGACATGAGCCTTCAGGTGGCCGCTGGGTGGATCCTCCAGGCTTCCGTAGCTCATGATCAGATTCTCGATCCAAGGAGTCAGTTTGCTCCGCGGACGCATTTTCTGCCTTTATTATTTGAAATAGTGCAACTGGAATAAGCTTCCGAGTGGAAACGGGGAACCCGCTCATTGTTTCCTACTTCATAACAACTTCACATAAGAGCAAAAAGTAAACATTAATACTGCTGAAGCATAAATGTTATTTAATAAACATTGATTCAATGAATTACAGCTAAATAAACTAGTTCAATAATGAGTATATAGACTGTCAAGTTAAAGTAAGCAATAATTCTTTGTTTATAACCGATACTATATAAAGAAGATAAATAAGAAATTAAGTGAGTTAATCCTCCAGATAAGCATGTTTATTAGAAACTAAATATTATATATATCGTTTAAAAAGACTCCTTCCCTCTAATGTTTAATTTACTTAAATTCAAAAATACTATATTAATCCCAAACTAAATAAAATTAATTAAATAAACAGAAACATGTTGACTGTAAATGTTTCTCTAAATGGTGTCTGAATAAATTAAGCTCGTGAAGAGTTTTTTACTGCTGGAACATTTGGACAGTACCTGAGCTCTGAGACGTTCACGGATATATATATATATATATATATATATATATATATATATATATATATATATATATATATATATATATATATATATATATATATATATATATATATATATATGAGATGTTTAGTTCTATAGTTTGGTCTTACGTTCCTGAACGCACCATGTGACCCATGCCTCTGGCGTCGCCTCAACATTGAGTGTTGTGTCCTGGGTGCAGTTTGTTGCACACCCTGTGCCATAAAACACCTCAAACACTCTGCAAACTGAAGGTAAGACCTTAGAATCAATAACTCTTGATTGATCCACCATGACAGGTTCACCTTTAATCATCGCTGTCTGAGCCGTTTATCTTGCCTGTCAGTAGTTTTGCTGCTCTTTTGTTTTGCTGGGTTTAACCTAGTTTTTCCTGCCAGACCTTGTTTAAAAACCGTCTACTTTAAGGCGGAGCAGCCTGCCGCAGCTACCAGCGACGGTTTCACATAACTAATCTTCGTTAGCATTAATCGTCACGCTTTAACACAACGATCGGCTCATCGTTTGTTCTTTATACAATTGTTAATTTTAATATGGATCAATTCTGAGATGCAGTTTGTCTGCTTCTGCAGACAGCAGTCCCAGGTCCCGACATGTCGAGCTCCGCATCCAGTGATCCGGGTCTCACGGTCTCTGATCCGCAGCACTCGCAGAAGCTGCTCAGAGTTCTCCGGTCGTTCTGGCAAGAGCAAAGCTTCCACGATGCGGTGCTTGTTGTGGATGGAGAGGAGCTGCCGGTGCAGAAGAACATCCTGGCTGCAGCCAGCCCCTACATCAGGTCAGACCTGCTGGGTTGAAGCAGGAAGGGTGTGTTCACTTTACTTCTACTTGCATGTTGTGACACATTCTGATGTCATTTGTTTTCTGTCAGAACCAAGCTGAACTACAACCCTCCCAAAGAAGATGGGTCAACCTATAGGATTGAGTTACAGGGAGTCTCCATGAGCGTCATGAAACAGATCCTGGACTACATCTTCAGCGGGGAGGTGAGGCTTCAGCAGTGGTTTCCTTTGGTTTGACAAAGCAGAAATAAAGCCAAGAAGAAAGGGCCTTAGGTGTTTGGGTTAATCCCACACTGTCCTGATGAAGACAGCTGACAGGAGCAGAGGGTGACTGAAACCTAAAAAGTCCTCAAGAAGGTCAGGGCTTTCCAGAGGGCTTTACCCAATTATGTTAATGGAAAGTTAGTGGAAAGGAAAAAAGGCACAAAAGCTACAAACACAAGAGAGGTTTGGAAGAAAAAGAAGATTCTACAGTTAGTCTGAGATCCTCTGACTGAACTGCTGAGCTTCAGGAGCGCCTCCACACGTCATCTGGAGACCACTTTGTGTTTTAACTGTAATCATCAATGTGCAAAACTGAGCACCTTGTTTTTCTCTTGCAGATCATCTTGAGCGAAGAAACCATTCAGGACGTGGTGCAGGCGTCCGACCTGCTCCTCATGACCGATCTGAAGTCCCTTTGCTGCCAATTCCTGGAGAGTTGCATCACAGCAGAGAACTGTATCGGCATCCGCCTCTTCTCGCTGCTTTACAACCTCCAGCACGTCCACTACGTCGCCACTGACTTCCTGCAGACCCACTTCCGTGACGTGGCGCTCACCGAGGAGTTCAGGGAGCTGCCCCACAACCGACTGTGTGAGGTGCTGAGCATGGAGAAGCTCAACGTAGGCAACGAGAAGCACGTTCTAGAGGCGGTGGTGCGATGGTTCAGCCATGACACGGACAACCGCCGGGTGAGTCTGAAGCTCTGGTCAAAGGTCATCGGATCAGAAGGCAGAGGGGGCGTGTCTAAAGAGAGGGGGCGTGTCTGATGAGAGGGGGCGTGTCTGTTAATAGGGGCGTGCACAAACGGAGAGTGTTGATTCATTTAGAATAAAAATAAACAACAGGTCTCTGGGTTCAGTGGACATGTCTCTGGGTTCAGTGGACATGTCTCTCTGGGTTCAGTGGACATGTCTCTGGGTTCAGTGGACATGTCTCTCTGGGTTCAGTGGACATGTCTCTGGGTTCAGTGGACATGTCTCTCTGGGTTCAGTGGACATGTCTCTCTGGGTTCAGTGGACATGTCTCTCTGGGTTCAGTGGACATGTCTCTGGGTTTAGTGGACGTGTCTCTCTGGGTTCAGTGGACATGTCTCTCTGGGTTCAGTGGACATGTCTCTCTGGGTTCAGTGGACATGTCTCTCTGGGTTCAGTGGACATGTCTCTGGGTTTAGTGGACGTGTCTCTCTGGGTCTAGTGGAGGTGTCTCTCAGGGTTCAGTGGACATGTCTCTGGGTTTAGTGGACGTGTCTCTCTGGGTCTAGTGGAGGTGTCTCTCAGGGTCTAGTGGAGGTGTCTCTCAGGGTTCAGTGGACATGTCTCTGGGTTTAGTGGACGTGTCTCTCTGGGTCTAGTGGAGGTGTCTCTCTGGGTCTAGTGGAGGTGTCTCTCAGGGTTCAGTGGACATGTCTCTGGGTTTAGTGGACGTGTCTCTCTGGGTCTAGTGGAGGTGTCTCTCTGGGTCTAGTGGAGGTGTCTCTCTGGGTTCAGTGGACATGTCTCTGGGTTTAGTGGACGTGTCTCTCTGGGTCTAGTGGAGGTGTCTCTCAGGGTTCAGTGGACATGTCTCTGGGTTTAGTGGACGTGTCTCTCTGGGTCTAGTGGAGGTGTCTCTCTGGGTTCAGTGGACATGTCTCTGGGTTTAGTGGACGTGTCTCTCTGGGTCTAGTGGAGGTGTCTCTCTGGGTCTAGTGGAGGTGTCTCTCTGGGTTCAGTGGACATGTCTCTGGGTTTAGTGGACTTGTCTCTCTGGGTCTAGTGGAGGTGTCTCTCTGGGTTCAGTGGACATGTCTCTGGGTTTAGTGGACGTGTCTCTCTGGGTCTAGTGGAGGTGTCTCTCTGGGTTCAGTGGACATGTCTCTGGGTTTAGTGGACTTGTCTCTCTGGGTCTAGTGGAGGTGTCTCTCTGGGTTCAGTGGACATGTCTCTGGGTTTAGTGGACGTGTCTCTCTGGGTCTAGTGGAGGTGTCTCTCTGGGTTCAGTGGACATGTCTCTGGGTTTAGTGGACTTGTCTCTCTGGGTCTAGTGGAGGTGTCTCTCTGGGTTCAGTGGACATGTCTCTGGGTTTAGTGGACGTGTCTCTCTGGGTCTAGTGGAGGTGTCTCTCTGGGTTCAGTGGACATGTCTCTGGGTTTAGTGGACGTGTCTCTCTGGGTCTAGTGGAGGTGTCTCTCTGGGTTCAGTGGACATGTCTCTGGGTTTAGTGGACTTGTCTCTCTGGGTCTAGTGGAGGTGTCTCTCTGGGTTCAGTGGACATGTCTCTGGGTTTAGTGGACTTGTCTCTCTGGGTCTAGTGGAGGTGTCTCTCTGGGTTCAGTGGACATGTCTCTGGGTTTAGTGGACGTGTCTCTCTGGGTCTAGTGGAGGTGTCTCTCTGGGTCTAGTGGAGGTGTCTCTCTGGGTTCAGTGGACATGTCTCTGGGTTTAGTGGACGTGTCTCTCTGGGTCTAGTGGAGGTGTCTCTCTGGGTTTAGTGGACGTACGTCTCTTCGGGTTTAGTGAATGTGTCTTTTTGGGTTTAGTGGAGGTGTCTCTCTGGGTTTAGTGGACGTGTCTCTCTGGGTCTAGTGGAGGTGTCTCTCTGGGTTCAGTGGACATGTCTCTGGGTTTAGTGGACGTGTCTCTCTGGGTCTAGTGGACGTGTCTCTCTGGGTCTAGTGGAGGTGTCTCTCTGGGTTCAGTGGACATGTCTCTGGGTTTAGTGGACGTGTCTCTCTGGGTCTAGTGGAGGTGTCTCTCAGGGTTCAGTGGACATGTCTCTGGGTTTAGTGGACGTGTCTCTCTGGGTCTAGTGGAGGTGTCTCTCTGGGTCTAGTGGAGGTGTCTCTCTGGGTTCAGTGGACATGTCTCTGGGTTTAGTGGACGTGTCTCTCTGGGTCTAGTGGAGGTGTCTCTCTGGGTCTAGTGGAGGTGTCTCTCTGGGTTCAGTGGACATGTCTCTGGGTTTAGTGGACGTGTCTCTCTGGGTCTAGTGGAGGTGTCTCTCTGGGTTTAGTGGACGTACGTCTCTTCGGGTTTAGTGAATGTGTCTTTTTGGGTTTAGTGGACGTGCGTGTAGAGTTGGGAATTGAAAAGATTTTCACGATTCCGATTCCCTTTTCGATTCTATGAAACGATTCGATTCTTTATCGATTCTTTTTTCGATTCCAATTTGGGGGGAAAAGGAGAACAAACAGTTTGATTATCAGCATCAACTTTGTTTAATTAACTATTGCACAATGTTACAAACTCAACAAGATCAAGATGTCCACAGGAAATGTGAAACTGGAGTAACATCTGTGTTTAAATGAAAAATTAATACAAGAACAAACTTAATAACCAACAATGTCTAATAACAAATGATAGGATAATAACCTAATTTAAATAACAAAAAATACTAATTATAAAACAGTAGTAGGGAAAATTAACAGTTCTTTTGCAGAAAGATGAGCATATATGCTTTTTCTGGAAGGATACAG